AGTTCTGATTTCTCTATATTCTTTATCAACACATACCATTTTTAGACTTTTAATTTTTGTCACTCTGACTGGGGTGAAAGATACCTTTCTTTAATTTGTATTTCCAGGTTAGCTCTGAGTTAGCTGTATGAATAGTTATTAGGCTCTTTACTATTAACATCAAATCAAATCTTCAAAGCTAGAAGAAAATTTGTATTTAAAATGATCTAATCCATTTATCTCATACATAAAGGAAAAAGCCAGCTAGCTGGCTTCTAACTTCTAAATGAAAATTTTCTCCCACAACTGGTAATGTAATTACCTATGTTGCTCCTAACCATACACTTACAAGCAAATATTAATAGATCGAGTTTTCTTATTAAACAAAAGAAGCTTTACAGATGAGGTAAGATTTCAGTAATTTAAATATTGGGTAAGATCTGATAATTAAGTAGATATGACAATGTCGTATCTTCTCCCAAGGTCAGAGCTTGGCTTCAACAGTGTAGGATGACTGGAACTTTGAGCTGCTCTTTAGAACAAAGAAAATGTAAAAGATTAAGAACCCTGATAAAGTAAAAAAAATAATACCAATAAGTAGATATGACAATGTCATATCTTCTCCCAAGGTCAGAGCTTGGCTTCAACAGTATAGGATGACTGGAACTTTGAGCTGCTCTTTAGAACAAAGAAAATGTAAAAGATTAAGAACCCTGATAAAGTAAAAAAAATAATACCAGTAAAGAGTAAAGACAGACAATCTGGAGCTGGAGAATTTGACAGCCTCACATACAGCTCAATTACTATATGCAATAGTAATGGAGAACCTGATTGGATCCTGGACCCAAAAAAGGACATAAGTGGGCCAACTGGCGAAATTTGAATAAGGTCTGTAGATTAGTTAATAGTATTGTACTAATGTTATTTTTCTGGTTTCAATAATTATACTTTGTAAGATATTAATACTTGAAGATGAGCAAGGGGCAAAAGGAAACTCTTTTTACTAGTTTTGTAATTTTTGTAAACCTGAAATTATTTCAAAAAGGTTAAATTTATTTTTATTTTAACTATTATGTAAACAAATATCAAGTACTATATATAATAAATATAATATTTAATAAATCTTGAGAATATAATAAAGTACCAATAGACATCAATTATCAAATATTTTAAAGAAAAAAGAGAAAACTGAAAGTAGTATTATACTCCTGGGGTAAAACCAGATCTAAGAGCTTGTGATTTGTTCAATCCTTTAAGGAAAAAAAAAATACTGAGGATAGTAAATCATAGAAATTAAAATGCATTTCAACAGCACTGCATAAGAAGACTAGCTACCCTGCATCTAGAAATGCTTTTAAAATGTCTGCTAAAAGATTCAGATGAACAAGATGAATTATTACACACAACAAATTAAATGTGTAAAATCATCTTGTAAATTAAACTGAGATTTTAAAACAATTACCTCTAAAAACATGTGCTTTTATATAAGATAATGAAACTATTTATGATAGATATACTTCACACCATAAAGCACACAGACAACATTAATATCCCTTCAAAAATTGCTATAGTATAGGATTTGTTACACTTTACCCAGAAAGATATTTAAATTTCCTCATAAACCTGCAATTACTGGTACCAGGATGACTCCAAATTATTGTTATGGTCAAACTTTAGCTTGAGCTAGCAAGATAAAATTTAAAGAGTCTGCAGAAACAGGTATGTGCCTCATTCAGTGTAAAATGTCAGAGTGTAGCGTCGTAAAATGTCTTTGGACAGCAATTAGTCATTATCTATCAAAATGTTAAATATGTGTACCCCTTGATGCAGCAATTCCACAACATAAATACTCAGCACATATGCATAGGATTTATTCACTACATCATTGTAAATAAGAAGACCTGAAGCACTGGGGCACCTGGGTGGCTCAGTCAGTTAAGTGTCTGCCTTCCGCTCAGGTCATGATCTCGGAGTCTTGGGATCGTGTCCCACATCGGGCTCCCTGCTCAAAAGGGAGTCTGCTTCTCCCTCTGCCCTTCACCCCGCCCATGCTCTCTTTCACTCTCTCTCTCAAATAAATAAATAAAATAAAAAAAAAAAAAAAGAAGAAGACCTGAAACAATATAATGCTCATCAAGAAAGCACTGGTTAAATATATTATGACATCCAGTCACTGGAATATTATGCAGTTATGAAAGAAAAAAGTAGACCTAATGTGCTAACCTGGAACAATTCCCGATACGTACTATTAAGTGAAAGAAACAAAAGTGCAGAAGAGAGTATAGTTTATTACCATTTGTGCTTTAAAAAGGTAGTGGATTTACAGTATATTAACAAATATGCTTGCAATAAATAGAGTATGTAAGAATACCCAAGAAACTGATAACAACAGCTGTCCCTTTTTGTACTGTTGAATCTTTTCTTTTGGGCATGCATATATATCTTTCTCAATGTCTAAATAACCAGCTAAGAAACACAATTTTATGAATTATCGGTTCAAAAGAAAACTGAGTCGACTTGTGTTAGTTTCCTTTTTGTTGCTGCCAGTAACAAATAGGAACGCATTTCAGATTTGGTAAGCTTTGTCAAACTCAATCATCAAGCCTTAGAAATAGCTTATTTGTGGGGCGCCTGGGTGGCTCAGTTGGTTAAGCGACTGCCTTCGGCTCAGGTCATGATCCTGGAGTCCCGGGATCGAGTCCCACATCGGGCTCCCTGCTCAGCAGGAAGTCTGCTTCTCCCTCTGACCCTCTTCCCTCTCATGCTCTCTCTCTCATTCTCTCTCTCACAAGTAAATAAAATCTTAAAAAAAAAAAAAGAAATAGCTTATTTATGAATTAACTCAAAATGTATTAAAGACTTTAAAATTAAGATCTGAAACCATAAAACTCCTAGAAGAAAACATAGGCAGTAAGCTCTTTAACAATGATTTTGGCAATGATTTTTTTGGACTTGACACCAAAAGCAAAAGCAACAAAAGCAAAAATAAACAAGTGGGACTACATCAAACTAAAAAGTCACTGCACAGCAAAGGAAACCATCAACAAAATCAAAGCGCAACTTACTGAATGGGAGAAAATACTTGCAAATAATACATATAAGGGATTAATAATCTAAAACACATAAAGAACCCATACAATTCAACAGCAGAAACACCAATCTGATTAAAAAATGGACTGAGAATTTGAATATTTTTTCAACGAAGATATACCGATGGTCAACAGACACATGAAAAAATGTTCAACATCACTAATCATCATAAAAATGCAAATCAAAGCCACAATGAGATATCACCTCACACTTGCTAGAACAGCTACTATCAAAAGACAAGAAATAGCAAGGATTGGCAAGTATGTAGACAAAACCAAGGATGTTTACTGTTGGTGGGAACGTAAATTGGTATAGCCAATAGGGAAACAGTATGGAGGTGCCTCAAAAGATTAAAAATAGAACTACCATAGGATCCAGAAATACTTCTGGGTATCTACCCAAAGAAATGAAAACACTAATTCAAAAACATATATGCATCCTCATGTTCACTGCAGCATTATTTACAATAGCCAAGACAAGGAAACGACCTAAAAGTCCACTGATGGATGAATGGATAAAGAAAATGTGCTATATATATACACACAATGGAATATGACTCAACCATAAAAAAAAGAATTAAATCCTGCCATTTGCAACAACATGGATGGATCTCGAGAACACCATGCCAAGTGTAATAAAACAGAGAAAGACATATACCATACGATCTCATTTATACCTGGAATCTTAAAAAAAAAGGTCATAGATACAAAGAACAGATTGGTGGTTGCCAGAGGAGGGAGTAAGCAAAACGGGTGAAGGGTGTCAAAAGGCACAAACTTCCAGTTATAAAATAAATGTCATGGAATGTAATGTACAGCATGGTGACTACAATTAATAACACTGTGTTGCATATTTGAAAGTTGCTAAGACAGTAAATCTTAAAAAAATTTTATTCACTATGTATGATGATGGATACTAACTAGACTTATTGTGATGATCGTTTTGCAATATATATATCAAACCATCTTGTACGCAGAAAACTAGTATATGTCAATGATACCTCAATTTTTTAAAAGTAGCTTATTTATGCATCCTGAAAAGTAACAAATTTTAAATTTGAACTACTTTCTACTAAATAGAGTATCATAGACAAATCTGTAAAAATGTTTTTGATTAAAATAATCCAACAAAATAGTGTTAGATCTTTATTTTATGAGCACAAGCCTTCAGTTTAACACATTACATAAAAATTCTAGAGTCAATAACAAACAGATCCCTGAAATTTGTGAATCAAGGACTTTGACTCATTGTGCATGAATGGATAAGTCTCTGATATAACCTTACATACGAGATGGGATATTACCGACAAAAAAATCAGTGTCTAATCCACTTGGAAAAAGTATTTAACACAAGGAAATGGTTCAACAGCTTAGACTCTTTTTCCCTCTATTGGTAATGAAACAATTTACATGAAAAATCATTCTACAAGGTCTCAATTAACATTCAGCTACTGAACTCCAAGTCTTTTTATGTGTTACAGGAGGCAATACATACATAGATACATACATGGTATCTCAACAAATCCGAGCTACCAGAGGCCCCTCGGCAATTGTAACCCGACAGCTAAACACCATATGGCTAGGCAAGCCTCTCTTCAGACAGTTATCACTCGGTGGCTGATTAATTTCAATGGCTTATTAGACAGGCCTCTCCAGACCCTTTCCCTAGAGGAGGAGGAGGGGAACAGTCTGTTGTGTTCCCGGTGCTTTGTGCCTCCCAGGCTTGAAAGCATCCCGGTGACGGTGCTGCCATCATTTCCCGTGGGGTAGCGGGGTCTTTTCTGCAAGTTTTTGTTTACCATGTACTGAACCTAAAATCTCTTTGGCTCTCTCCCTTCCCACCGCGGGCTTCTCCCAGACAGTCAGACGCCCACCCGGCCTCGCCCCTTTCCCGCACGCGCGCAGGCCCAGGCCAGGGGGGCCAAGGCTTACCCGTCGGCGCGCTGTCTAGGATGCGCAGGTCGTAGGCCCCAGAGCAGCGGTAGTTGGCAGCAGTGCCGTTGTCCCACACCACCACCACCTCTTCGGGGCTCTCGAAGCTCCGGACCGTGCCCACATGGCCCTCGCCGCCGTCCTGCTTCCCCCACTTCCAGTCCGGGCCGCGCACTACCCGGGCCCCGACCCCTTCCACCATCACCCGGTTATTCCGGGAGTTACTCATCGGGGCCCGGGCGGTGGGCTCCGCCGCTGCCGCCGCCGGGGGGCCCGTGAGGGAGTTGGGCCCGGGCCGGACTCTCGGCGCCGGCGGGAGCGGCAGCGAGCCCCGGGGTACGTGGGAATAACTCACGGGGGCGGCGGCGCGGTCCCCGCTAAGCCCACAACCACTCTCCAGCCGTCGCCGCCGCCGCCGCGCCCCCGGCTCGGACTGGAGGCCGGACCGCAGCGGCTCAGAGGCGGTGGCGGCGGGCGGGCAAAGGGGAGGGGGCCGTGGGCGGGGACTCCCCCGCTTCCTCCGGGCTCCCCGGCCGGGCTACAGCGACGGCCGCCAGGAAACCACGCTCTCCCCCGGCCGGGAGCGCGGGGAGCACAGGGGGCCGGGGGAAGCTGGCCCGGGGGAGACGGCGAGGGCGACGGGGAGCAAGCTTAAC